AGCAATATCATGTCTAATGATCAGTATATCATCGACATAGAATAGTAGGATAATGATGTTTCCATCTGAAAACCTTTAGAAGTATACACATCGGTCTGCTACCGTTCTTTTGTACTCGTGATCCACCATGAATGAATCAAATTTCTTGTACCATTGTCTCGGCGCCTGCTTCAGGCTATAATGACTCTTCTTCAGTTTGCAGATTAGATTTTCTTTTCCTTTAGCTTCAAATCCTTCTGGTTGCTCCATATAGATTTCTTCTTCTAAGTCACCATGGAGAAAGGCAGTCTTGACATCTATTTGTTTAGCTCCAGATTCAAACAAGATGCTAATCCCAAAGCTACTCGAATGGAAACCATCTTCACAACTGGGGAAAAGATCTCATCAAAATCAATTCATTTCTTCTGCCCAAAACATTTGACAACCAAGTGAGCTTTATGTTGAAGTAGTTTTCCACTGCCATCTCTCTCAGTTTGTACACCCATTTGTTTTTCAATGCTCTACTACCTCTTGGAATTGGAACAAGCTCGTAAGTGTGTTTCTTCTGCAAAGAACTCATTTTCTTTTTCATGGCTTGCATCCAATAGTCTTTTTCTGTATGACTCTTTGCTTCCGAAAAACTCTCGGGCTCTCCCTTATCAATAATCAGAATATACTAAGAAGCGGGATATTTGGTTGATGGCACGACAACTTTTCTAGATCTTCGCAATTGAGGCCCAGTTGCTTCTGGTTGAGGGGGTTGCTCTCCCTACTCAACACCCTCTTCATTTGGGTCTTCCTCTCTTTCCTCATGATCCTCAATTTCTAGCATAAGATCCTGTAGCTCTAGCATTTCTTGTTACATATCATCATATTTAGTATTTTGTGATGGCTTGAGAGATGGTAATAAGTCTGAAGTGATGACATCTCTAAACTTTGCAAATTCCTCAAAATCTGTTACTGTCTGGTTTTCCTAGAACATAACATCTCTACTCCTAAACATCTTCCTGTTCACTGGGTCCCACAACTTGTACCAAAATGTTGCATCTGAATAGCCTATAAATATGTATGGAGTGGACTTGTCATCAAGTTTTTGTTTATTTTCCTTGGAGATATGTGTGAATGTTTTACACCCGAAGACTCTCAAGTGAGAATATGATATCTTTCTTCTGAACCAGACTTCCTCAGGTATCGCAAAACTCAATGGGACTGAAGGCGACCTGTTGATGAGATAACAGGCTATACGAGTGGTTCAGCCTATAATGACTTTAGCAACTTTGGCATGCTAAGCATGCATCTAACTCTTTCAACAATAGTGTTGTTCATCCTTTTTGCCACACCATTGTGTTGTGGAGTACCTGGAACTATTGTCTCATGACAGAGACCTCTGCTGGCACAATATACTTCACAAGCATTGGAAGTGTACTCGCCACCATTGTCTCTGCGAAGACACTTCAACTTCTTCTTGGTCTCTTTTTCCACCATTGCATGGAACTCCTGAAAGTGCTGGAATACCTCATCGTTTGTCTTCAAGAAATACACCCACAACTTCTTTGATGCATCATCAATGAAAGTCAGAAATACTTGCGACCGCCAAGTGACTCCACTTCGATTGGGCCACAAACATTCGAGTATACCATACTGAGCACTTCTATTTTCCTTTTGCTCGCCGAACTGAATGATACTCGATACTGCTTGCCATAAAGGCAATGATCACATGACTTCAGGGCACTCCCTTTGGATAAGGGTATCTTGGATTGTTTTGCCAATGGATACAATGCCTTCTCACTCATGTAAGCCAGTCTTTTGTGCCATAAGTCCGATGACTCCTTGTCTTCTACTGTATTAAGACTTCCCAGACAAATCTTCATTTGAGTCTTGTATAGTGTTGAAGATATCTTTCTATTGACAATTGTCAAAGCTCCACCTATCAGCTTTCACCGGCCATTCCCGAATGTACTTGTATAGCCCTGTTGGTCCAGGACGCTTCTAGAGATAAGATTGAGGCGCAAATCTGGAACATGTTTCACATCTTTGAGAACCAGCTTGTGACCGAAATTAGTCTGAATACTAATGTCTCAAATACCCACAATCTTCGAATAGCTAGAATTCCCCATTCGAACAATGCCAAAATCTCCAGCTTTGTACGAGCTAAAGAGTTATTTGTGGGAAGTGGCGTGAGAGGATGCAACTGTGTCTATCACCCACTCTATATAGTTGTGGTAAGCCATGTGAAGGAAATCCTCCTCTTCACCAACTGCAAGAAGTATTTCATCAGTTATTGTGGCTGTCGTGTTCTCATCTCTCTTTAACTTACTGCCTTGGCCTTTATCTTTCTGACTTGGGCAGTTCCTCTTTATGTGACCCTCCTGGCCACAATGGAAGCAAGTGAATCTAGAGTTACCTTAACTTTTACTATCTTTAGATTTACTCATGTTATTTCATCTGTCTCTATTCTTGCTTCTTCCTCTACCTCTATCTTTTATAACAAGAGCATGGAACTAATGACCTCACATGCTTTCTTTCTTGTCTCTTCATTGTATAAGGCGTCCATGATCAGGCTCATGGTCAGCTTCTCCTTTGGTGCAGATTTGTTGAAAAAAACCACCAACGTCTCCTAGCTGTCCGGCAAAGAACTGAACAGTAGTTCGGCTTGTATTTCATCATCCAAGGGCATCTTGACGGTTGCAAGCTAATTCACTAGATTCTTGAATTCACTAGTGTGCTCGGTGATAAACACACCATTTTTCAACTTCAGATTTACAAGCCTTCTCATCACCAAAGCTTTGTTCCAGGCAGTCTTTGACTGATACATTCTTTGTAACATTGTCCAGAGGACATATGCATCTGTCTCTTGGGCGACATGGTGGACCACACTATGGTCTATCTATTGTCTGATCTGAATGACAGTCTTCTGGTTCATCTTTATCCAGTCTTCATCCTTTTCTACTTCCGATTTAACCCCTTTTAGAGCAATAGGGTCAAACAGGTCTTTATAGTATAGGACGTCTTCCATCCGCGACTTCCAGATTCCATAATTGAAAGCATTCAACTTTATCATCGATCCTGAAGTTGATGTAGATTCCTCCATCGTCTTCTTACTTGTACAAAAAAATCACAACTTCAGGGACTAAATTGCCACACAAAAAAAAATTTGCTGATGCAATGATGACGTCACAATGACATCAGCCTTCTTCTTCAAATGTCTTCGCCGAACTGAAATTTTAGGCGAAATTCTGGCAAATCTTTGGTAAACTCTACGGCACTCGTTTTAGCTCCGATTTTGACGAATTTTATATTGTCGGAATTGTCTCGAAGAGACGCACCTTCTAGTGTGCTCAAAAGTTGATTTTGAGCAACTTCGAAATTTGACAATTTTTGAAAAACACACTGTTTTTCTCCAACCGAGCTTTGATACCACTTGTTAGGATTAGGCATACTCAGAAATCAATTACACACAAAGAAAAGAGACACAAGATATTTACGTGGTTTAGCAATTGCCTACGTCCATGGAGAGAGATTTCACTATAGAATTTTGTAAAGGGAGATTACAGAACTCACACTCACTTCCTCTCATAGATTTACACACTCTCTTTGATTCTCTCTTACTCTGGCTATGTTCATTTTCACCCCTTCCTCCTCACCTCAATTTATGCACAAAAGAGAGGGAAAACAAAGTCAAGAAAGGAAGCCAACTGGCAATTGCTTCCCTCCTTCCGGCAGATATTTATAACAAGAAGAAAAATATGGCTAGTCTTCTACCTGCTCTCTCCCCTCCTACTCCTTGACTTGGAGCTAGCCTTCAATTAATTCTTCCATGTGGGCAGGAGCTAACAAATTATGCACAAAAATAATATAGAATATATCTAACCATCTAACAGTAGAGAATTCCGTGAGTGGAAGAAAAAAAAATTCCTCTTTAAATTGATCCAGAATATTATTTTCCATAACACATTTACCATTTTTCAGACCTGTTTTTCATGCATGGAAAGGCTATTATACAATTTCAAAGTTTCTGGTTTCTAGTTATAATACCATGGTTTAGAATGACTTGATCATGGACTTGGATTAGATAAACAACAAGATGGTTTAGAAAGTGCATAATTTTTTATGCATCATTTATTAAGAAATCTAAAGTGATTGTACATCTTTTATAAAAATATGTCATAAAGAATATATGATCATACTAAATTTTCTTAATCAAAACCATTTTTATTAGCCAGGATAAACCAACATCTAGATATAAATTTCTAACAGCCTGGCAGTTCCTTCCAAGTGCCAAATGATTTTTTATTTTTTGGGCTTGAAATCACATTCTCTAGTAATGTTTCTTAGAAGAGCAATTGTTAGACTTGTTTGACGTTAAAATAAGAGAGGGTAAATGGCTCAAAATTCACAGCCATGTGACTGGTGCATTCCAAGAAGATCTCAAATGAGATTCTTCTACCTTTTCAATAGAATTTTTTGTAAACGGAAAAAAATAAAAGAAAGGAAAAGAGCAAGACATTTCTTATCCATTTTCACATTGCACACAAATTGAAACATGTCAGACATTGTAGGAAGGATCATCTGATCAAATTTCCACATCAAATTTGATTACACATTGGAATTATTGGTTCTCTCTCAATTTTAACTCAATTTGATCTTATTTCATAGCCACAACGTAACCTCATTGCCATGTGGCAGGTAAAAGTAAGCTCCACCGGAATTCATCGGTAGAGATGGCAAGGGAGGAAGGGGAGAGAAGGGGTTTGGGTGAGAGAGGAAATGATCGTTTCCATGGCAGCAGTACTTGTATTTTGGGGTTTTATTTATTCTTGCAATTTTGGGTTTGCATTTTTTCTTGCAACTGATTTCAATGGAATTACTGCAATTTGGGATTCTATAGCAGCACTGCAGTAATTGAAGCAACTGATTCATATAATTTTTAAATGTAATGCTTTGTGTTGCTTTATTTCATCAGGCATGAAACAAGAAACCTTAGGGGGGAAAAAAGGAAAAGAAGAATTTGCAAGTTGGTGTAAAAGCCAAACCACATACATAGATATAAACTGACATTTCTTCATATTAAAGGTCACAAATTTTTATTCAACAGATCAATGGCCTGCCAGAAATAGCAAAAGCTGATTGATTTTCGTTCTACAAACTGAAAAAAAAAAAGGAAAAAAAAGCAGAAAAGGTCACAACCAAATGCATATCTTCTTGCAGCAATCTCTTCTTTGCAGGTCTTCGTGAACGATATGCCTCAGCTTGCTACTTGGAAAGAAGCCTCAACAAGAAAAGACCAAAGGAGGGCAGGTAAAAATCTTGTATGATCAATAACTAATTTAAACCAAATGAAAAAAGAAAAAGAAAAATAAAGAAAGTATTTAACTGCTATGACTTGAACCAGGATAGAGAAATTTGACATAAACAGTAAGGTATCCCAAATGTGAAGCATATAAAATAGAATAAATCTAGCAACACAAAAATGATTAGAAGCTAGTCACATTGGCAAATTCTGTAAAATCTTGTCCATCATGTGCATTCTGTGTTAGTGTTTGGCTTTTGTGTTCATTGCAAAATTGTGTAACATATTGAAAGGTTAGAAACCACTTGGTATTTTAGATTACATTATACAGACGGAGACTTGCGTTTCAGCCAGGACTTTGGGCCAATAAAGCTTATTGATCGGGTTATATACTTTCACAAACAGCAATTGGCTAGTAGTTGTAAATTAAAATCAATATTAGAACGGTTGATACTTAGAAAATTTTGTTTAGTCAAAAACGTGTGTGAAATATTTACAAAAGTAATACATATCGTACCCATTTTAATAACAGTCGCTTGTCACATAATTGGGAAAAATATATACACATACATATTATATAACATGCCTGCGTGCCATTAAAGGGCTTAAACAGATTGAAACATCTTGGATATCTGCAACGGAAAGACAGGATGGTAAAATTAACGTCACAATATTATATGAAATATTTAAAGACTACCGAGTAATGATCACTAGCCCAACAATTTCTACCACAAAAATGACCAAACAAACAGTAATAACATAGTCATTGACCTAATAGTAAACAAGATCCATGGGACAATCAATCTTTATTACGATCATCATCATTTAACTTTGTTTTTATAACACAAAAAAAATGTAGGCAATAAAGCCCCAAATTCTTTCAACATTGTGATTTGTATATGAAAATTTTAGATCATTTGTGTTTAGGGAACTGCGACAGTTTAATAAATAATTGTGTAAGGTGTATGTCAGTCTTATCCATGCTTAAACCCTTGCCTTTTAACATCTTCCCATGTCACTTGAGACCAGCAACCTAACTCCTTTGTTGGCTGCTATGTTACATGGACTCGGTATGATTATTGGGTGCGGGTGCATGCACGATTACTATTGGAATATGTATCCAAGTGAGGTATTGGTAACATGACAACATTATTACATGTTACATATTGTCTAATATGCTTGGATAATGGAAATTATGTAGAAATGAATTGAAATTAATAAGATTTGGGGACAATATGGATTTCCTATCTCCCATCCATGAGAAGTAAAAAAATATTTCTTTACTAGCAAATGTGAGTTTCATCTTTTCAAACATCATATGAAATTAAAGGATCCAATTATCCAAATTAGAAAGAGGAGAGTCCATGGGTGCAACTATTTTTAATTAACAAGTCCAGTTTGCAAAGCTCTATGTAGATTAATTACCTTGGGTTTCACAAGGCACTTATCAGGTTGCCTTACAATGTAAATCTGATCTCCAATCTCATTGTACATGTCCTGATTGCGGTGCCATGTCCACAGAGCGTGTGTCTCATTCTTCACCTGCACATCGCACATTCCGCCATCAGTTTTTCATCCTATTAACATTAATAGCAGAGAGAGAGAGAGAGAGACAGGTACCTCCAGAATCCCATGCCCAAAGCTACTTTCCCGGTAAGCACTAAAATCAGGTTGCCGGTCCCAGCAAAATTTACCGGCTGCCGGGCCTGATGTGAAATTGGTTGCACAATTGCCAAGTCTGCTGGATGGCTTTGGACAGGAACCAGGTTCATCAGCAAATGGAATTGCCCTATCCTCTCGATTACCACCGTCTCCAATGGTGATGTAGACCGGTCCACACGGATCCAAGGTGTAGTTATATACTCTATTTGACCTCTCATATGCATGAACCTATTGAATTTTTTTCCAAACAGTTAGATTTATTGCCACATCATAAATTTACTTCGATAGAAAGCTGCAACAAAATGTCCTCTAAAAAAAAGAGAAGAAAAAAAAACCCACACATTTCATTCTTGAAGGAAGGGTGGAAATTCTTCTTCAAATCAGTACATAAAACTTTGTCAACTAATATATTGAAGTTAATGGTGCAGTAGAAACTTAAAACTTTATTTGAGCAGGAAAGCTCAATTTGATACTAATCCATTAAAGACCAAGAGAGTAAATGTGAACTGGTTTAAGCTACCGATCTGTTAATTATGCCAAAAGATTAATATATTTAGCATAGGACATAAGAATGGGTGCATGGAAAAAGTTTGCCATAGACACTTACATGTCCATTAAAGACCAAGTCAACACCATTTTTATAGAGCAATTCTTCCATTTCTATCATCATACACTCTGCCTCTCTGTAATGCGCCTTGTAGCTGTTGTACCAAGGTGCATGCCAACTAGCTACCAACCATGGAGTCACTTCTCTGTCAACCTTAGCAAGGTCTTTCTTCAACCACTTGTATTGCACCGCTGCAACAAAGAAACTAGGGAATCTCAATATGCTGCCAAAACAGATTATAATCCAAAAAGCACAAACAAGAACAGGAATACAGACACGCTGCAACTGAAAATTTTTAAAAACAGTCCAGACATGTTAGGACTTGTGTCTGACAAGTGTTGAGAAATATTTGAAGAATGTCGTGTTATGTCGGTGACTGACACAGTGTCCGACATGACAGGACACCTTCTTAGATTATCAACATTACTTATCTTCCTTCTTCCATTACAACAAAGAAATGCTATTAAGAGTCCACAAATGATAGTGACCAAAACAAATGAGGACAATGATAATAAAAGGTAATGGTACATAAATGGGAAGAGTGTCCATGGATTTACATGATTTGTTATATGCAGTGTAGGTTCCAAGCATTATAAAATGTATGCCCCCTGCGTTGAAAGAATAATACAATGTGGATTTGGATCCACTCTCTTTGGATGGGTATGCGAATCGAGAGCTGTAGGATGCAAATTGCACATCACCACCCTGTTCTTCTACATCATGATTTCCTTCTATCATCATTATTGGAACTTTAGCCACCACACGCTGCATGTACCTGAAAATAAAAAAATAAAAAACGGTTTTACTAAGAAGCAATGTTTTTAGTAAATTTCCATGCCCAGTTGTGATTATGAATATTTTAGTTTTTACTTGAACTAGTCTAATCTCCTGTAAGAAAAAATAAATAAATGAAAGAAGAAAGTAAAAAATACTGAACCAGCTGCCTCACTCATTAAAGAACCTGTCCAGTTTCCTAAATAAATTATTTGTTGTAGCTTTTCTTTGACAGAATTAAGAAATATATGGGTACAAAACAAGAATTTTAGACAATTCTGAGAGCAAAAGTTGTAAATTAACCTGCCCCAATAATCCCAACGAGGCTGATAGGTCTCATGAATGGGAGTATGACCAAAAGCACAAAAGTAGCAATCGGCCCCAGTACCATTTGTCAAATACAAATCAGCATAAGTTGCATCCCCAGTCATTAGAATAAGATTAGGATCGTTTTGTATCATATGTTCAACTGTTGAAGTGGTATTGTAAGTAAGACCTAGGTCTCCCACGACTGCTATTCTTTTTGGGTAAATTTTGGGGCCATGAATAGGCATTGTCTTGAAAGAAAAGACCTCACTCATTGCTCCCATAGAAGGATCTCCGCACCGATAATAGTATATCGTGTTAGGCTGCAACCCTGCAAAAGGAAATGGAAACAAGAATTCAATTGAAATGGCTGAAATTTAGGAAACACATTACATGCACAACCAAATATCACACTAGGTCCATCAAAGTACGAATTGCTTGAAGTATTAAGCTTGAAATCAACTATCAAAGTGAAGATAAAGATGAACCAAAATGTCAAAAATACCATTTTATTTATGAAATGTGTAGGTAAGATGTCTAAACAGTGCTCTTCATATCAACAGAATATTGTTACAAATTACAATATCCACTGTACATAAGCAAAAGAAAGTCAAAAACTGAATCTATAGAATAGATGCTTGGTTTTTTGAATCTTTATGTGTTCTAATCTTCCCAAAGAAATTAGATCAGTAAACAAATGTTTGTTAGATCAGATTGTCCTACAGATCATAATCAAATTCTAATACACACCTTTATCCAAACATGACAAAGGCAATAACATAAGAGCATCTCCAACCCTTCACTACTTTTTTCATCTAATTTGATTTCAAATTTAAGTAAAAGAACTTGATTTGATACGAATTAGGCCAACCCTTTCACCAAAATCTTTTTAAAAATCCCCCTCTTATCCCAAATTCTCTTTTCATCAAACTTGATAAATAAATAAATAAATAAATAAGTCTCCAACGCTTTTATCTTTTTTATGAATTCTCAATTTAGTTTTAAAAAAAATGTTTCTCCCTTGATTTCCTTTGAGTGGAGGATTAGAGATAATCTTAAGTCAGGTCTTATTTGATTTGCAGATTCCGAGATTAAAAATTTTATACCCAAACTATTAGTTAGGATTAACTTGTCCCACCTACGTCCTTCAAATAATCACGCATATACAGGATAAAAGACTCATGGAGATTAGTTATTTTTTGACTCAAAAAATTTGAACCTGTGGGAGCCGAATATAAATAATCAACTTCGAACTGGACCTGTCAATTGGACCATGAGGCCAAAGCCCATTGGGCTATGGGTCATTGCCGGATAGGCATTAAGGGCCACATGGGATGCCAAGTAAGAGATATTCACACCACGTGCCAAAACCGAGTATTCCAGGGTAGTCGGAAAGGTCCTGTCGCACAATTGTGCTGGCCGATCCCCAAAAAACATAACAAGAAAGTGGAACCAGAGAAGAACTCTATAAAAGAGGAAAGGAGCATGAGAAAAGAGATATGTGAAAATAACTTACACTATGTTTGGGAACTTAGGAGATGAAAGAAAAGAAATGATTACTTAAGTAATAAGAGAAAAGAAAAGAAATGAAATGATTGTGATTTCTCGCTTTTTTGTTTAGATAAGGAAGAAATAAAAGAAAAGAAATGATTGTGATTTCTCTCATTCTTGTTTGGTTAGGTTTCATTAAGAGAAAAGAAAAGAAATTATTTTATGTTATATTACCAAAATAACCTTTTTATATTTCAATCATTTTATTTCTTTTATTTTTATAGGGACAAGATTGGTGTTATGAAAATAGTGGTTTCTTTTCTCTCCCAATCTCTCCACTTTTGAAAAGATTGAAAATGAGGCATATAAGAGAAATGAGTTTCTTTCAATTTCTCTTCATTTCTTCCCATTTCTCTCTACTGAGATTATCCAAACAAATAAGAGAAATATATATCACTCCATTTCTTTTCTTTTCTCTCCAAATCACTCAATCCAAACATAGCGTGAGACTCCAAGAAATATAAAGTATCAACTACCCAAAAATAGAACTGACTAGTCGGAGTGCTAATTTCGGTACCACAGGGGTTGTTTTTCTGTTTTTCAGGTGGCATTGCAAGGATCTTTCAGCCTCGTCTGGATCCGAGCAGTATTTCCAAAATTTACATCCCCACAGAACCAAATGCAAGATTACCCAAAAACATGAATTAAACCCTAACTAGAGATGTGTATAAAAATAAAAATAAAAAGCCCACTTAATATTCAGTGAAAGTAAAGTAATACCTTTGAGACGAACATGGTGTATAATTCCAGAAGTGTAATTCTGAAGGCCATCAAAAGGGTAAAGTTGACTGTAGATGAGTGAATCCCCCTTGGTTTTGTGAGTAAATTCAGATTTGGAGATACCATGATAAACAACACTTTTCACATCTTTTGGATTCAATGGTTTAATGTGGTCTCCAATTTGGAATTCCCCTGCAAATGCAAATGCAAATGCAATTCAATCAAATCAAAACTCATTCTTTCACAACCAAACACAGAGAGTGATAGGTAAACACAAACATGAATCAAATTTCTCATTACGAAGAGTAAAAACCATGCATTGGTCCCATTGATCAGGCCAAAATTCCCAAAACTTTCAACCTGGGTTTGGGTTAGTTTTTAGTTTTTTCAAATTATTCTTGAGGTTTTTTTTTTTTTTTTTTCATTATTTTTTAGTGAATTTTTTTATCAAAAGTAAAATATTTATGATTTTTTTTTAAAGTTCATTAAATATTAAAAAAAATTAATTTTTGTATAAATATTTTATTTTTAGTGTATTTAAAATTTAGAATTTTTAATTAAAATACATCTAAAAATTTCACTAAAAATTTGAAAATTAAAAATTATATTCAGAGTTTAAAAAACAGACAAGTGTATTTATTTTTGTAAGACATGGGCCAGATTCAGGAAAATAGTTTTCTTATCGCCCTAGCCTTGTTCCAATTCAGCCTAGCCTGGTCAATGCCTCTGGTTAAGCGTATTGTTGGGCTTCTTTCGGCCTACCACATGGCCCATTCTAATTTGTCAAAAAAATTTATCTAAAAAAAAATAAGATTAATAGACAACCGTAACTATATAATTAAAATTACATATGTTATAAATAAAATGGTCAATAAGCACGATTATGCTAATAAAAATTCATTATTTTGAAAATTAATGTAAACTAATATGTATCAACGGTTATTCACTTAATTTGATTTTTTTTTTTTTTTCGTATAAATAATCTATTCAAATAATATAGTTTTGATCATTGAAAAATGTTCCCGACTTCACCAAAGCCCCACATTATGGTTGAACCACTGACCAGAGATAATTTAGTTCATTTTTTTTTAGAATATGCCATGCTGATTGCCTTAGGCATCTTTTAGAAGAAGTTTGAAGTTCCAAGTTTTGTAATAATATAATATTCCTGTAATAAATATAAATAAAACATAAAAATATGGAGGAGTGATTAAGAGTTCTAAAACTAGAGCTGTGATTTGAGTTCTAATTATATGGCATAAAAATAAATAAAACACAAGCAAACAAGCACAAACCTTACATCATATGGCGAGTCCCACCATTAAAATTCTAAAATTAAAACTCTTCAGTCATTTTTGAAAAATATAACGAGGCACAACCATTTCTCGTAAAAGTGTTTCTTAAAACCATGCCAACATTTTATATAGGGTATAATGTAATGCAGTATTATTAATTGATAAGAAACTTCATATTATGATAGTAAAAAATTACATGATTGAAATAGTAAGACAAGAATAATTCACCTAGTTGCATTCATTGTTTTTGTTTTTTCGAAATTATGTGGGCATTTAGAGTTGGTTTTTTTCCGTTTTTAGTGACTAACAAAGAAGCCGAAAACAGTTAACTGTTTCTTTTCTTTTTTTTTAATTTTATTTTTATATTTAGTAAACTTTTTAGATACGTAGACACAAGATGAACATGAAAAAAAAAATAATTATTATTATAAAAAAAAATACTAAGAATAAAACAAATTTTCAAAAAATATATATATAACGTTTTATTAGCTGATACCAAAGTGATTCTAAGACTGGAAGATAGTAGAGGCAAAGAAATAAACCTGTGATCCAAGAGATCCAAACAGAGTCATAAGTTGAAGAAAGAGAAACAGAAATTTGCTCAGGCTGAAAATCTCCACCAGTCCTTTGCAGCCTTTCATCGGTGTCCGGCAAATCCACGGCGTTTCCGGGCAGGTTGACAGCAACAGTCACCGGCTCAAATGGTCCATCAGCTGTCGTTGGAATATTTCCATGGACTATTGTCACCAAGCTCACCACAAGCGACACTAGAAACCCAATAACATTCTTCACTTTATAAGAACTCATGTTTAGGGCTTAAATGCGCCAAGTAACCCCAAAACATGAGAAAAGGCACACAACAGAGAGTGAGAGAGAGGTGGTTTGAGAATAGAAGAAGGTGGTGAAGGGCTTTTATAGGAGTTTGTGGGATTGCTTTTAGCTGGATAGAATCCTATGTCATAATTTTAACAGAAAAGAGAAATGTGGTATAGAGTAAAATAAAAAAAAACAAGACACACATATCAAATCAGTCATGAGTAAGGCTCACTGTGCCACATATAATAGAAAATACATATATCTAAATTTGTTACGACATTGAAAATAAGTGTATAGTTTAAATTAAATGGATGTTTGACATTCCTTAAAAAAGATAAAAAGTCAAAAAATCACTGAAATTTTTTTTTACCACTATTCCCATGTTTAGGCGGAAAAAAAATGCTGAATAGACAAAGGGTAAAATTACGAATTTGTCCTTTCCCATTCAACAGCCAAAAGTGCATGTCAATGTACTTATCTTTACACATTTTACCAAATGCACTGGCGTGGCTAATTATAAGCCACGAATTCCCAAAGCCAACAAAATTTTGAAATGCACTAAATGCACATAGTATGTGTCAGGGAGGGTACAAGAGTAATTTTGATATTTGATATAATATTTTATTACACATTTTTTGTAAAAAATCAAAAAATTATTCCAAACATACATATTTTTTCTCTCTATTTTTTAGCCAAAAGTTTAAAAAGTGTACTTATATAGATTATCCCAAATAATCCCTAAAATTTATATTCTGGCAATTTAGTTAAAGCAATTTTTTTTATTTTTTTATTTTTTTAGATCACATTATCTCTTTATTTTTTTACACATTGTTTTAAAAAAATCAAAAAAAATCAAAAAATCAACTTTTAACTTACTTCTCAAAACAAGCCTAACGTGTTGTAAGCTACTATTATAATAAATCTGGTCCATACATTCTTAATTCTGTGTGATTTTCTAAGTTTTTTTTTATAATTATAAAAATTTTAATTATGACACAACTAGAATCCTATCTATATCATTAATAATATTAATTGTGCTTTTTAATCCATCGTTTTTTTTAATCCACACACCCAAAAACGAGTAGCCTAATCGACAAGTGAGTTGATATTATATTCACATGCAGGCATCCACGTGAAAATACTTTATTTATAAAAAAAAATTATGTCCAGCTCTCTCAACTGGTTTATGACACAACTAGAATCCTATCTTAGATTACCTTGATTAGTGTGTGGTGTTTTATTGTAAGTGTAATCCAAAGGTCATAAATCTTTCATGACTATTTTCATGAAAGACTTTTCATGATACCTAGCATTGTTGATATCATTAAGAGAAATGTTAGAGATCATGAAAATTTTGTCATGAAATTGATCATGAAAAATTTGTGATCCTTAGATTACCTTGATTATTGTGTGGTGCTTTATTGTAAGTTTACAAAGATCATAAATCTTTCATGACTATTTTCATAAAAGACTTTTCATGATACCTAACATTGCTGTATCAGTAATAATATTAATTGTACTTTTTAATCCATCGTTTTTTTTAATCCACACACCCAAAAACGCGTAGCCTAATCGACAAGTGAGTTGATATTATATTCACATGCAGGCATCCACGTGAAAATACTTTATTTATAAAAAAAAATTATGTCCAGCTCTCTCAACTGGTTTGTTTGCGAGTTTATAATCAAAAGATCTGCCAAATACTATTATACAGTACATATAGTCCATTATCCAAGTCATGAACTAACACCAAAAGGGATCCAACCTTTTCCCAATTCTTCAATCATAAAATGCTATCTTCAAGATGTGCATACTTTTTTTTATTATTTATTTATTTTATTAGTTTTTTAAAATTATTTTTTTAAAGAAGGTATAAAGATTGAAACCCACAAAATTTGAAATTTGAATGGATGCATATTGCTACTTCATGGAAAACGTGTGTGTCGGTGGTGCTGTTCATTGCTGCTAAATTGAAAAATTAAAACACACTATAAAAATATTTTGAGAAGATGGTTAAAAGTTACTTTTTAATTTTTTTTTTTTTTTTACATTTTTGTAAGAGAGAGAAGTGGATTAAAAATTGAGAAGTAACCTTTAATTCACTTTCCAAAATAGCCCGAGTAAATTTTTTTGTCTCCGGGCCATGAAAGAGATAGTGAGGGCCCTGTTCACTTGAACATGCTCTTATTGATAATTTTATACTTATTTTTGGCCCCTGCCCATTGAATATCTATGAACTCTTTTTCCTATCTCAAATCAAAGAACTCTTTATTTGTTATTTTCCTTTCAAGTTTGTTTGGTTAGTATGCATCAGCAAATTATAGAATATTTTTAGAATACCACGTGCTTGTACTCTTATTCAATTATTATTCATTATGTCTCGTTATGTCTCTCAATCACCTAGTACAGTATCTCACCTATTCACATTCTCTATCAATCACAATATTATAAAATATCACGTTTCTATATTCTCAAATTACTAAATAATTATCCGTATGTGTCATACTTAGAATCCTATTTCATAATTTTAACACAAAGCCTACTACATGTGAAAATGAGTGTGTATGTACTATTTGGGATGAACTGAATTGAAAAATCTAGAAGTCTGCTAGATATTGATTTGTGATTATGTATCAATTTTAAGCAATAAAACAATCTTAATCAAACAATCAAGACAAATCGACACAACGATTTTAACGTGAAAAAACCACAATTGAAGCACCTCCAATTATGATAAAAAAAACCACGGGCAACAGCCACAAAAAAAATTCACTAAGAAGATATAAAGGAATTACATAGGTATACTGTCAATTACCTAACGAATTCACGCCTGAATTGAACCAACCCCTATGTGCCTCTTCCAGCCTTGTCTTCACCTCAGAATTGTCTTGACGATGAGCCACTCCAGAATCCACCAAAGTTTCAGGCTCAAATTCTTCAGAATTCACAGAAGAACAACTCTCTCTTTTGTATAGAATGAACAAACAAACCTTTGATGTATGCTTCTTAAACCATGAGTTGAATACTCAATGAAACATGAAAGAAAACTAGCAAAACAGTCCTAGATATAAGCCCTAGAACCCAAGAAGAAGATCTGGAGACGTAACCCTAGATTTGGACTGAAACACGTATTTATAGAAATTTGTCCCGCGATCTCCGCTCGAGTGTCAGATTGGCCGCTCGAGCACGAAAAGTTCCGCTCGAGCGTGACAAAACAACATCCAGTATTTTTGCAAGTGAATAAACTTCTGGAACTCAGCATTATCTGCTCGAGCGGGGGAATGTCCGCTCGAGCAGACAGGCAACTTTGAAGGCAATTTTTCATTTTGCTTTGGGGGTGCTGCCCCTCGACCCCGACGTGGCGCTGCCCCAGACCCGTCAAGGGACGCTGCCCCCTGGACTCCCACGAGCTGACCAGGCAGCTCGATCCCCATCATAAACAGCGAAATGGAAATTTTGAAAGTATTAGCATCATAAACTTCTCTACAAGGCACAATTCGGGTTGAATTCGCATCTAAAAACTCATAGCCTCACTGAAATAAAAAGTGTGAAAGCAAGTACAACTGAAAGGAGTTTTGTCAACTGGGATTACCAAAAATAAAAACCTAACAATCTCCTCCTTTGGTAATGCCGTGACAAAACACACCTAACAAATAAAATCCTAATCACCCCAACCCATTACAGCCAACAAACACAAACTTCTTTCTCAAGGTTAAGATCTGCAAAATAGCTATTAGTGCCACAATCTCCAAAACAACTATTAGCCCCACAAGAGTACATGAAAAAGCAATAAACATATGACTAGGTTATCTTGAAGCGTTAGATGAAAAACATGAATAGATGTGACTTGGAGATTTTAAGAACATGTAGCATGACAATCAGAGATTTAAAGAACATGTAGCATGAATAAATGAAGCATGAATAGATAAAAACTAAGACACACGCATCTGACACATGACATGAATACTTGAAATCCTAAGATAAGACACATGCACCCGACACATGACATGAATACATGAAAAACAACTTTCTTCCCATTTTTGTCACGACTTGACAAAGAAAGTTCAGTCAACTAAAGCAAGATCATAAACCACACAAGCAATGATATGATGATGTAAGTGTCTGGAGCAGGCAAGCAGGAAATAATAAGCAAACAGTGCATAGCAACATGCAAAACAACTAAAGCCAATGTCCCTTACCAAACAAATCAAAGTATGCATGCTAACAAACCCTTGTAATGATAAACCAAACTCCCCCTCACTAAAAGCAAACAAGAAGAAAAAAGACAAAAAATAATATGGTGGAGTAAGCAAGGAATTTCAGATTTGTACCTTGAAACACACAAGATTATCCAAGAAGCACAATTACTTGAAAACACAATGTGCACAAACTCTAGAAGATTCCTCATAAAAGAAAGTGATGCATTATGTGAAAAGTATAGATCCCATGATAAAAGTGTGTGTGTGACTCTTGGAGTTCGACAAACACTAGATTCAAATCCTAGTAGTGATCTGAAAACTGGACCTCCGACAAGAGAATCTAAGCATAACTAAGGAAAGTCAAACCACTAGGAATCAAGGAGTATTTGGTGAGTAAAAGCGGAGGCTCCCCCTCAATCAATGAATCCTTTATTTTTTCCTCTATTTTTTCTCACATCTTTTTCTTTTCTTTCTTTTGCACATTTTTTTTCTTTTGTTTCTTTTGCACATTTTTTCTTTCTTTTGTACACTCATTCGCGGCTGACACACTCAAGAGTATGGAAACCGAACCAGAGAAGCATGGATATAATAAGGATAGCTTGGTTGGTGACTCTGAGGTAGCCTTTTCCTCATGGCTGGACTACAAAGAATAGAGGGGGAAAGCCGTGGAGATGCAAAAAGATGGAAGGTGGTTTAAGACATCACCCATGATATGCTAGTATAGGTCAATTCCTCTAGAAAAGCAAAAGATACAATGCTAGAAATCCAAAAAAAATTAATCACTAAGGCGGAAGACTTCGATATTTACGAATCCAAGAGTATGTATAGAATGAGGCATACTAATCAAAGAACACACACTCCAAAATGAGTAATGACCACAGAGAGCACACACAT